TGATTACGCAAGGCTACTCAAAATACTTAACTCAATAACAAAACTTGCAGTGGAAAACTCAACTTTCTTTTATTAATACTTATAAAAATAGCAACATTGCTATGAGTACTCAAAATAAAGACAAAACCAACATTCCTAAACTAGGTGAAGCAAATCTCGGGACTCCCATATGCTCATTCATGACTCCACCTAAAAATAGACAACACTGCTTACCATTAAAGTAAACAGGGCGAACAAAAACAAATAGGAAATACGAATTAGCAAAATATGCTCAGTATGATAAGTGCAAGATAATGTAAACTCAATTTATTAGCAAACATGCTTTTAAAACCAATTCCAATAATTTCAAAACTCATGATTCAAAACCAATTCTCAATATTCTCAAAACAATTCCAATAACTTAATAATTCAATAAAAACAATTTATAAAACCAATTCCTCTTTTTAAAAATCAATTCCTCACTCAAGTGTGCACACCCCCCAGGTAAGTGTCCTAATGTAGAAGGCTATCCTTGAGGAAAGACTAGGTCATACAAAGTCCATAGTCTTATCAACCAAATTCACATAGTGGGATTAATATAATCATGCTTGTAAGGCTTTAATAAATAATTCAATAATTCTCATGAAATTCCTCTTTTGAATAAAATCAAACTTTATAATAGAATAACACAAAAACTCCTTTTTATTCAATTCAACATGCTTTCAAAATCTACCTTATAGTAAATACTTGAGAATTAAATCTCATATAAATAACTTTTCAAAATCAATAACTCTTCCTTTGAAAAACCTTTTATTTAATTCAACCCTTTTCAAATCAATTACTTTATTTAAATATGATAAGTAATTCAAACCATTCAAAACACGATATTAAAATCTATCCTTCAAAAATACATTTATTAAAACAAATATTAAAATCAATACCTCCAAACATACTTTATTTCATAAATCATAATTCAAATCAATATTCAATCACCAATAAAATCATATAAAATATGTTATTCAAACCAATCACTGTCAAAAGTATCTAGCCACCTAAACGTACCTTGATTCCAAATCTCAATCAACACTTCACACTTTCAAAGTTCAATCAGGAATACACCTTGCAATTAACATAACCATAAGGTTATCACAACATCTTTAGACATAAACCCAAATCTAATGTGCATGGACTATAAAAATCTTTAAAAAATAATACTTCAATATAAAAATATAACTTTGAAATAGGTATTTATATTTTAGAAAACTAACCATGATGAAAATAAAGGAATAGGATTAAACAGAATTGAATTTGCATTGAAAAGAATTGGTTGAACTTGCAGAGGCTATAAATCCTTCAATATAACTCTTAATTGGGTGGTTCTTGAACCTTACCTCAAGGATTTTTCGAAAGGAACAATTTTTTGTGAAATAGTAAAATCCTAAAACTAACCATAAGTGCTCGAAAATTGGATCCAAAGATATATGGGCTGATTTTCTTTTAGAAAAGAGGAGAAGAAAAGTAGGAAAAGGTTGAGGGAAAAGAAAATTAAGAGAGAAGAGAGAATTGGGTTTTGGTGTGTAGGATATGAGAGGTATGAGGGGGTATTTATAGGCTCATGAATAAAAATATTAAGGTAAGATTTTGTAAGAAGAATTATGGTAATTTTGGTTTAAGGCATTACTTGGAAAAGAGAGTTTAAAGTATTGAGGAAAGTCTAGTTTATGGTGATTAAGAAATGAAGAAATAAGGTAAGTTGCTTGATCATGAAATGGAAGATGGCAAGTAAGCTTGTTTGGAGAATAATCAAGAAAGATTTAAGGCAAATAAATTCCATGATCAAATCTTTGTGAGATGGGAAAAAGGAATTAAGGAAATAAAGGAATTTAAGGAAGATAATTAAAATACAAAACTATCAAAATAATTAACCCAAAATTATCATGAAGTGGCCGAAAATATTGAGTATTCCTAAGCTCATATTTTCGAACCTCATAGATAGATTTTAGGAAATATCTTGCTAGAATTTAAGGATTAAAAATGATTGTGTAAATAATATATTTTGTAGAAAATAATTAATTACAAAATACCAACTTAAACTAACTTAATTAACCAAGAAAAATCGAATTTTCTAAGAAAATCCGAAATTACTAGCTAATTAAATAGGATTTTCGGCCCTTTTAATTATATAGGAAAATATAATTTTTGCTTAATTAAAATATCCGAAATATATATATATATATATATATATATATATATATATATATATATATATATATATATATATATATATATATAATCCGATTTTTAAAATAATATAAATGGATAATAAATCTTATTCAAAATCCAAAATAATAATTGAGTTTTTAAAAATGTTTTTGGCGCCAAAATTCAAATATCATTTTGGCTCCAAAATTCAAATTGTAAAATAAATTTCTAACATACCCTTTTTAGAAAATACTAATTAATTAATTTGAAAATACGTTTCAAAAATACGGGGTATTACAACCTAGCACGTGTCAACATGTGATTGGTCATAAAAAAATTGGTTATTTCACCAAATGCCACTGAGTAATTTCGAAATTCACCAAATGCCATCGAACTTTTCCAAATTCACCAAATGCCATCGAGTTTTAACAAAATTCACCAAATGCCATTTCCGTTAGTTGACCGTCAATGTCCATTAGTTGACCGTTAGTTAGACCCCACCACTTGCCACGTGTCACCTTCTGATTGGTCCGTTTTAAAAATATATATATATTTTTAATAAAATTAAAAAAATAACAAAAATAAGAATTAAAAACTTTTAAAAATAGTAAAATATAAAAATTAAGAGGTGGCAACCACCACCTCCTCCGTGACTGCCCACCCCAAAAACCTAGCCACCACCACCTCCTCCATGATTACCCACCCCAAAACCCTAGCCACCACCACCCCTGCCGCCAGGGCTAGCACCGGAAGGCGCGTTGGCCTCCGGCGACCCCTCTTCTTCCCCTTCCCTACCCCGTTGGAACCCCTTAACCCGCAAAACCCCACCCCCCTTCCTCCACCACCCCGAAATACAGTGGGGACTGGGGATTCGCTGGTGGGTCGCGACAGGAAAGGGGAGGGGGCTGCGACGGGGGGAGGCGAAGGGGAGGGGGGCTGTGACGGGAAAGGGGAGGGGAAGGGGAGGGAGCTGCGACGGGGAGAGGGGAAGGGGAAGGGGGCTGTGACGGGAAAAGGGAGGGGAAGGGGCTGCGATGGGTTAGGGGGGGTTGCAACGGGATAAGGCTAGGGGAAGGGTCGCCGGCGGCCGGCGCGCCTGCAGGTTCTAGCCCCGGCGGCAAAAGGGTGCGGTGGCGGCTTCGTGGGCTGGCCGGTGGTGTGTGGACCAATTAGAAAGTGACACGTGGTAAGTATTTTACTATTTTTAATTTTTTTTTAATTTTTTTTATAATTTTTATTTAATTAAATTTTTTTTTTCAAAAATGGACCAATTAGAAAGTGACACGTGGTAAGTGGTGGGGTCCACTAACGGTCAACTAACGGTTGTCAGTCATTAATGACATTTGGTGAATTTTGTTAAAACTCGGTGGCATTTGGTGAATTTGAAAAAGTTCGATGGCATTTAGTGAATTTCGAAATTACTCAATGGCATTTGGTGAAATAGCCTAAAAAAATAAAAAGTAAAAAAAGATTTTTTTTTTTTTCAAAACTCAAACAACCACCAGGCAGCCACCAACGGTGGCTCTTCTCCCTAGCCAACTCCCGAACCACCCCCTCCCAGCCCTCCGCCACCGGGTTTCGCCACCGAACCAACCCTAACACCGGAAAACGAGCTCCCAACCCTACCCACTTCGGGAACCGTCGCCAACGTTGAAACCATTCCCCACTTTCGATTCGAATTTTCGCTCTACGCCACAAATCGCCACCGCCCTTCACTGCCATGAAACCATTCCCCTCCCCAACCTTCTAAATTGGACCCCCTGTCGAAAGTGGCGTACCGTCACTTCCCAAAAAACCAAAACCCCAGAAATCGGAAACCGCCACCAACGTTGAAACCATTCACCCACCTTCGAAATTGGTCCCAACAACTACGGTTTTGGGGCTAGGTTGGGGTTAGAAATGGGTGGTGGGCGAGGGAAATCGGGATGGGCTGGGGAGGTCGTGGCCATCGGCGGTGGTCATGGCAGGTTTGGTTTTGTAGTTTTTTTTTTTTTTTTTTTTAATTTTTTTTTTAAAAAAAGTTATTAAATTTTTTTTGAACCAATAAATAAGCGATACGTGGCAATTATTTTTTTTTACAAAAAAATTTAACCCTTTTTCCATGTACTGGTAATCGGGATTGAAGAAAGAAAATGCAGATGAAAGTTGAGATTATTGCAGAATAAACGAAAGTTGGAATTATTTAAAGTAAATTGAGCAAAGTTGGGATTGTTAAAGTGTATTTTTCCAACTTATAAATCTATTATGAATCGGGCATCGCCAGGGCCAATAGTTAGTTTAGTAGTATAATAAAAAGTGAACACGTCAAAAAAATAAACCTTTAGTATATTAAAAATGAACATTTATCATACAATCATAAAATAATTTGACCGTATTCAACAAAAAAAAAAAAAGAATAGCTAAACCATACCTATAAATATGAACATTTTATTAAAATATATTTTGTTTTACATTTATCATACTTTGTTAGGATTATTAAAAGTAAATTAGCCAAAGTTCAGATTATTAGAATAAATTTTTCCTTCTTATTTACGCTTGTTTAAGTGGAGAATATGGTATAAGATTAATAAAATCCTCCAATACCCATTACAGATCGGATATCCAAAATTTTGAAAATCAATATCCAAATGAGCATACAATATTCCTATTTTAGATATCCAAAATATCGGATCGAATGCGATCGTATTCTCATATAATTTTACACAACCCTAATAAATAATGCCCTTTACGTGGCAACTACTATTGTGTTTTGACTTGCTTATTGATTGTATACATAGCAACAGGGCAAAAAAAAAGTTTAAGGAACATTAAGTGGACAATTGCAAAATATCTATCATAATCAATAACCATCCCAAAATGAGTTAATGGTACTTCATTACACAATAAGCAAAACATACAGATTCCAGTTACAAAACAATGTAAATGTAGTTTTTAAGAAACAGAGCAAGCACCATACTCCAGCAAATATAGATGGGACTAAAACGAGTCGCTGGAAGCTATCGTGTACAGAGAGGATGCTAATTTTGGATACATGCCAACACCAAGGGCAGATGCAAATCAGCTAAAACGAGCATAGTCCATACATTACTTTCCGACACACTTGAAAACAGAAATGCCATCGAGGAATCTCTGATTAGAGATATTGTTAAGTTAAATATTAGTCTAGTAATGACCATGCCTATCACCTAAACCATTTAAGACTTGCCTCAATTTAATTACAAAATTTGTATGTTTTCAGCTTTTCACTAATATGATAAACAGTAATTCTATCATGAAAGAATTACCCAGAGAAACTAAATCCAATACCTTCAAGGTGTAGCCAAAGTTTCTTAAAAGTGTATTTCACGTCTTTCAGCAAAAAATTTTCCATTGACAACAGGCTGCCCAGCAAGCAGTGCAAGCCAAACACCAGTGTCTGCACCGATTTCAACAGACACATTACCAGTCCAACCTGTCATGGCAGTTTTTACCCAGCCAGGGCAAAAACAGTTTACACTAATTTTTTCACCCTCAGGTCGATCACACAGTTTTCTTGCCAGATACCTGGAGTAACAATTAACAGCAAGCTTTGACATTGAGTACACAGTGGAGTTTTGAGGCCACCCACCTAATGTCCAGCTACCATCTTTTGTTTGTTGCAGAAAGGTTTTCAGAGTATTGTCAATCAACTCCTCTGTAAGCAAGTCGTCGTTAGATAGTTGTTCTCTCAAGCTAACATCTTCAATCCTCTGAAAAAAATAGATATTTTCTGGGTTGATTAGAGTATGCAAGCATAAAATCAACTCAAGTATGTTACTTTTTGCTTTAGGGTGCTAAAAGACTGGAAAAAAAAATTGAGACAGTCTTCAGCTTACATTTCTTCTGCCATTTAATCGGCCAAGCCTTGAGCTGACATTAACAATACGAGCACCAAATGAAGAAGGTTTCATTAAAGGAATCATAGAATCAGTTAAATTCTTTGTGCCATAGTAGTTTGTATTAATAACCTGCTCTGCATGTTCAACAGAATTCTCTGATCCAACATCGAAATTGACACCTGCATTATTTACCTGAAAAGCAGTGAATGCTAGACAATTATGAAGCAGCAACCTTACTTTATGCTAACGCAGAACTGTAATAAACGAAGTAAGTTTTTTTTTCAATGATATTACTATAAACTAACCCAACAGATTAAAGTCCATAGGGCTATATCATTGTATAGGGTTATGACTGTTATCTACTCTAATTATTTCAAAAACTGACATCTAGTGATCTAGCACCATAATAATTAAAAAAATAATATGAGGACATAGCCATAAGCACCAAACTGTATGTCTCATCCCCAGCCATGGAAAGTGAGCACAGCAGAAAAGTGGTTAGAAGCCCAATTAGGGAATGGACAATCTTCCCCCTTAAATCCTATAAGGGCATAAATGGCCTTGAGATACTCTCAATCATCTAATGAACCATCTACGTATATCTCTATCTCTCCATACTATGAAACTTGACTTTTATTTTTTTTAGTGTTTAGAGAGCCACAACGGCGGGGATGAGAATCGATCCCAGGATCCCCTGTAACCGGGAGGAGGCTCTAACCACTTGCTATCCCTCACTCTCATGAAACTTGACTTTTATTAGTACTTTGTAAGTTACTATGCAAAAGAATGGCTGGCTAAGCATTGAAATAAAAGTTGCAAATCAAAGAAATATAGTAAGCCTAAGATGTGCTCGTCTCGGCCAAACAGGGTGGGGGGACGCAACAGAAATAGGTATACAGCAACAACAACAAAGCCTTAGTCCCAAAATGATTTGGGAACGCAACAGAAATAGGTATGCTTACTAAAATATCCAAGCCGCCATAAATCACTTTGATCCATTCAGCGAACTCTTTGATCGACTGAGGATCAACAATATCCAATTGGTGGAAATCCACCAACAGATCAGCCTCCTGCAGAACTTTCACAGCCTCAATACCAACTTCAGTATCTCTTGAGGTCAGTACAACAGTCATCCCATGACCAGCAAGTTGCCGAATAATCTCAAAGCCAATTCCCCTGTTACCTCCAGTCACTACTGCAACAGTTTCAGAGGTCCACCACCTAAGACACTCCAAAAAGAAGAAATGACAGGAGTCAACTTCCAAAGCAAATAAAAGCGCCCGGGAAAATCAACATACCAAAACTCATTCGTTCTATAGAACTCTTCATTTTTAAACAACACCTAAATTTTTTTCTCATGCTAGGTAAGAAAGTGATTAATTGAGTTATGGTCCTTCTTCTAACATTCAATAATATATTTACTACGCCACTCAAGAGGAATCTAAACACACATGAGACTAGTCATAAAAGTGAGCTAAGTGGTTAATTTCCATAAAGGATGTAGTGTTGTACCAATGTACCCTATTTCGCTGATATGATAAGCCTCATGTTCGTTTAGATCCCAATTGAGCACTGTAGGAAACAGCGCCATAACTTGGTCACAGTCTCACAGAACAAATCAAATGGTGACAGTAATCAGTACACAAATTTACTTTTCATAACCAAAGCAACTAGGCCTTTTATCAGCACAATCCATGTTCATGTTCAGCCATATCGCTACACAGAGTGTGGCTAGACAAAATGATACGTTCCCGCCTCATATACTTAAAAAATGCAAACAATAACCATACATACAAGCTACCATCTGAGGCAATATATCATGCTGAATCCTGCTATACCCATTTGATTAAATAATTTGGATACAAAACACTGATAAAGATTAATTAAGAGACAACGCACTAGCCTATTTCCTATATAAAGACCATCAGCAATAACCTGATAGACATATTTTATACATTGCTGCTTCCTCAATTGCTGTTTGCTAATGGTATCTGGATTCAGAGAGGTCAAAACACTTTCAATTTTACCCAAACATAGGCCAAGATTGAAGGCATTAAATGCTTAATTGCTAATGATGAAGGGTTTCCAGGTTGTCTAAACATATTCAATGTTACCCAAATTTGAAACATAGGCCAACATTTTGGGCGTTGGATGCTCAATTTCGAAAGGTTTGAATTCCCGGGAGGTCAAAAGATATTAAACTTTACCCAGTTTCGAAACATTAGCCAACACTTTGGGCATTGGATGCATAATTTCTAATGCTGACAAGTTTCCAGGAGGTTAAAATATATTACATTTCACCCAAATTTGAAACATTGGCCACCATTTTGGGCATTGGATGCTCATTATCTAAAGTAACAAGTTTCCGGGAGATCAAAATATATTCAATTTCACCCCATTTTTAAACATTGTCCAACATCTACAGCATTGAAGCTCAATTGCTAATGGTGACTAGTTTCCGGGAGGTCAATATATATTCGATTTCACCCAAATTTGAAACATTGGCCAACATTTTGGGCATTGGATGCTCAATTACTAACGGCGACGAGTAAAATTTGAAACATTGGCCAACATTATAGCATTAGATGAAAAAGAAAGCAGGTTTCCGGAAGGTCAAAACATATTCAATTATTACCAGAAATTAAAGCATTGCCCAAAATTTTGAGCATTGGATTCTCAATTGCTAACGGTGGCCGGTTTCCGGGAGGTCAAAACATATTAATCATCACCCAAATCTATGAACATTGGCCAACATGTGACACCAGTTACTCAAATGCTGAAGATAACAATCAATCATTTTACAAAACAATGAATCAAAATTTCAAAACATTTTTGATTTTTGAACAAAAAAATATGAACATAGGGAAAGAAAATACCGCTGATTAGAATAAGACATTGTGCGAAGCAGAGAAATTTCTGTAATTCTACGTTCACGACGCTCCTTTGCGCGCTCTTTTGATCCTTTTCCCATTTTTAATTTTACTTCTTTATTCTTCCTAGAATTTAACAAAAATGAAGATCAATTGACGCAATTTACACAAAAATCACAGAGAAATTATACAATTAAGAACCCTAGAATTCAAGAATGAGGGGAAGAAAAAGGAAGCCATTACCTTGTGTAATGTAGATGAGAAGGGAAATTGAGAGAAAGAGAGAAAGAAATGGTATGGAAGTTCAGAAATGATAGTATTGAGAGGTCAAGAAATGGCGGTTGTATGCTGCCATTTTTGATTGATCAACAGCTTTGCCAAGCGGGAGGAAAGGAAGATCTAGGATAAAGTTGGGGGGCTTGGCTTTGTTCAAATTTTTAAGAGTTAGAAGGGATTTTTTTGCCTTTTATACCGTGTATCTTTTGTCTCAAATTAGTTGCGAACAGACTTGAGAAAAAGAGGTGTCAAAATCCGATCAATCTAATCCGATTTGTTCTGACAAAACTTTCAAATTTTGATTCGCATTGACACAATAATTTGGCGCGACTCAACTTTGAAATATACTCGCCTCGATCTCACTAAACCCGACCGGAGTATACGAACTTACGCCTCAAGCCAAAATAGTTGGCTGATTTGGCTTTGCCGCTTTGGTATGGGTGATTTATGTTATGGTCATTTAGATTAGGTATTTATTTAGGTAAAACAGCTTGTAATACTACTTAGATACAAGTTGATCGATTAGGCAGTACTAAACGCTTTCTTTGTTTTTATTTTGTTCAATATATTTTGGGAAAAATTTAAGTTGGTTTATATTTTAAGAATTACGGATTATATTATTGTATGAGATGGTGGGTGAAAGACGTGAGATTTGGAGGTAGTTGTTACTCTTATTAGTTGGTGAAGGGAGTGATAGGTAGACATTTTCGAAGGTGTGGTAAAGATGGGTTGAAAGGGGGTGGAGAAGGAGGTTCTGATGAGTTAATATGCTTGAGGTAAGTCGATTGAATTGAAAAAAGTTTCACGACTATGACGAGTTAATGAACTTGAGTAAAGTCGAGTGTTTTGAAAGATGATTCATATATCAGTTAACGAGCTTGAGTAAAGTCAAGGGAATTGAAAGAGATTTCATGATTAGGTGACTAAATGAGCTAGAGTAATAAGATTGAGTGAATCGAAAAATGTTTCATAGTGTTCATTATTCCATGAAGTAAATGATGGAATACTGAGTGAAAAGGGCACCCAAAATTTATATAAAATCTTTGTACATAATTAGTTTTTTAACTCATTGTGAGCCACAAACATAAACAATACTTCTTTTGTTTTTTTAATATTACAATGTTTGTAATTATGATACTATCTAAACACTTTTTTAAGCACCTGTTGTGATTCATAAGTAAGGAACAATAGTATATTTTTCGAGTGCATTTGTATGTCATTTCGAGTTTTATTCATTTTAAATTAGGTTTAGATCATCTCAAGTCGGTCACAAACTTAGTTTGGTTAATGAATATTGTAAGTCATGTTCGTCTAGTCATATACAGTTCAGTGCAATTTTCGTTCAATTCTTGAATTATTCTCAGGTTAACTTAGGTGTCAAGTTGATCTGGAATCAAATTTATTCAACTTGGATCATATCTTGAGAGGTTTATGAAGTTGTTATTTTGTTTTATGAAGTTTTTCTCATTTAGGTTCAAGTTCGTTCCATAAAGTTCTTCCCACTTTTACTTTATTATTTGTTTTTTCTTTTGTCAAAGATATACTATTTCCCGCTTTTTAAAGCTACTTTAATTTTCTTATTACACTCTATCTATCTCGTTTTAAAGTAATCACAAATAAACTTATATAACTTTACTTTATTTTTCTCGTTGACCCTGCGAAACGGAAAGAGTATGTTAGTAGCTTTAGCTATAGGAATATAATATATCTTCCCCATATTATAAAATAGGTAGTTATCGGAGTCCACAATGTTACATGTAACTCGTCAAAATAATTAGTGGGCTGGATGAATACGTCGATTTATACTGTCACTGCATATTGCTGGGTCAAATGACTCAAATCCACAGTAGTTGGACACTAGTAGTACACTACTACTTCATTGCAGCCGCCCGTGCAAATTATTGTTGTCACTTGTGAGATGTGCCTGGTAATCTGGTATGATTGAGGCTAAATTCCTAAATCCTAGCTGTTGGATTTGTATAATTGACCAATGGAGCTTTATTCTCTAAAATTGAGTTTCCATATTCTACATCGTTTGAATAATTTAGCTAGCCTAGTCTATTTTATATTGCACTAATTTATGCTTTGAATACTCCGTAATATCATGTTGTATTGTTTATAACATCGCTATATAGAAAGATTCGACTGTGACATGAGCACATGACCCATACCAAGTAGTTTTAACATGGGACATTAATCTGACTTGAAAACTATAAGGTTATATTTATGTTAAAGCTAAACATTCCAACCCAAATTAAATCGGCCAAATTTGTTAATATTCAACTTTTTTTTTTTTTTTTTTTTTTTTTATTATTCATCGATCATGTTTACTAATCCGGGCATTCTCTTGTAGAAATAGGTGGTGCATGGGGCAACTCTTGAGCGATTGCAAGAGAGAAAATGTGAACTGTTTTTAAGGCGAGGTAGCTCGAGAAACCCATTTTAATAGTTAACTAAGCGTTTAGAGGAGAGAATGTCTAAATTCAAAGAGATTTTTTGTATATTAACACTTTTCTTGAGGCATATGGAACTATGGAAGGGTATTTATAGTGTATGGACGGCTAGTGGTTCTTTGAAGTCGTTCGTTGACTTAACTCTACTCAAATTTGTTAGTAGTATGAGAGACTACACCATGATAAGTCTACTGGTGAGAAAAATACGAGCAGGAGCTACTCTATTCATGTACATTGTAAGCTTGTTGATGGCAAATAACTTAGGTCAAGCCTAGGCCAATTTATATTTATATACGGTTAATAAATCAATGACGTATATTTTATAAAGAGGAAATAGCCAATTGATCCCCCTTTTATTTTACTTAGGTATTGTTCTCTTCACCTTATTCAATTAATATGCAGTAGTAATAATTTAAGATCAATAAAAATAAGCTAAGTTCAACAAAAATAAGTTCAATTCAATAAAAATAAGTTTTTATTAATAAAAATGAGTTTTTATTAATAAAAATGAGTTTTTATTAATAAAAATAAACAACTCTAAAAACAAATATAATAGAGAACTATTAAAAATTATTTAACTTTAGCAAAATAAATTTAGTTTAGCAAAATAAATTCAATTCCATTCAATATACTTAGGAAAGTTGGCTTAAAATAATACCAACTATCAACGGTGTGTGCAAAATAATACGAACCCAACTATTTGCTATTAGTGGTACACCTTTTGTATTATATGTGAAAAATAGTACGCCGGTCAACGAAAAAGTATTTCGAGAAATATTCCGTCTACATTTATTATTATTTTTTATTTTTTTATTAATTTTATATTTTCTTTACAAAACATATTATGCAACAATTTTCTTTATAATCCAAATTAATAATGCCTCACCCCTTTGTTAGGATTTTTTTTTTTTTTTTTTTGTTTTGAAGTGTCAATATGTATTAATTATTTTTTTTTTTCAAAATACTTGTAGTAATTTCTACTACCACACAATAGTAAATATTGTATTTAATACATTTGACAAATAAAAAATAATAAATAAATAAATAAAATAAATAAATAAATAAAAAAAGCCTAACAAAGAGGTGGCCATTATCCATATAATTTGTATTGTGCTGTAAAGGAAATTGTTAACATAATACTACCCCCATTTCTGAAAGTTCGACTCGCTTACTATTCATGTAGTCAAAATAAAATAAGTTTGACTATATTTTATGACTTATACAATAGAAATAAATTAGCATGTGAGATCTTATTAGATTCACCTTATTATAAAATTTTCAAATATCAACTTTTTGTAATTTTTACTCATACATAACCAAAGATATTCACGGTCAAAGATGTTCATTGGAGATCACGCAAATGCAAACTGAGTCGAACTTTCGGGAACGGAGGGAGTATGTATTTTGAAAAGAAAACAAAAAATATATAACAAAAAAAATTTATAAATATAGATGGAATATTCCTCATGATTCTTTTCTGGTGAGTGGCGTACTATTTTGCACATATATTACAAAAGGTGGTAGCGTTAATTGCAAATAGTTGAGTTCGTATTATTTTGCACACACCGTTGATAGTTGGTATTATTTAAAGCCAATTTTTCAAATACTTATTCTGTAAATATAATATCAATCCATTAAAATAATTTCAATTCAGCAATAATAAAGTGAATAAAACATGTTAGTCGTAATTTTATATCTCTCAAATTCACATTATCACTTTTTCCAATGTTCTCATTTTTCATGTTCTCCACTTTATTTCTACATCTTCATGAAAAATGTTTGATCATTTTAATAAAGGAAAAATTAGTTTTAATAATCCCAACTTTGACCAATTTTCTTATAATAATCTTAACTTTTGACTATTCTGGAATAATCCCAACTTATATAGGTATCTTCTAATAATAAACCCGAACTTTCATTTTTGTTTAAATAATAGTCCCAAAAGGGATCAGCAAAAGCAACAAAAACAAAGTTCGGATTTTTTTAGAAAGATACCTATATAATTTGGGATTATTCAAGAATAATCAAAAGTTGGGATTATTTACAGAAAATCGGTCAAAGTTGAGATTATTAAAATCAATTTTTCCATTAATAATAAATTAATATACACAGTATACTTTTATAATCACTCAAAAATACAAGTACCATAGCAGAAGCAGTGCAATTTTACAATCACAATTTAAATATTGTCTAAATAAGAGTAACGTACACTTGGTCAAATTTATGAAAAGTGTAGCTTAGGATGAGAAAGACCTCTTGGAGCAGTGGCCCAAAGGTCGCCTTGCATCCTTGAGTTGCGTGATTCGATCCTCATCAGGCACAAAAACCCATCCCCCTACCTCCTTCAGGCATTGCCAACCAGACTTCCTGTAATAGGAGCCACATGTCATAAACTCATTCCAAATTCGACTTGACACAACCCGACCTTGAAATAGAACATTAATTATATCTTAATCCGACATAACTATAAATGAGCGTCTGTTATACTTGAAGTGATACATCTCATTTAGATTAATTATAGAAATAATCCCAACTTTCGATTATTTTTTAAAAATCCGAACTTTAATATGAATTTGCTTCCAATGGTCCCATGTGACCAGTTGTAATCCCCCATGTTTTTAGAGTAAATTATAATATATTTTTATTATTTATACAAATATTTTATTTTGATTTCATTATATAAATTATTTTATGCAAAATTTATTTGAACTTTATTAAATGAATAAGTTTTATTTTAAATTAAAATCCTCTTCCTACCTACTAACCATGATTTGACAACAATGTTATAATATTAGTAGTCCAATTTTAAGTGAATGAAGCCTATTTTTCATCTTACCGGTGCCCCCAAAACAAGTCATAACCTTATTAGGATTAGAATAAGAGCTACCTATATAAACCCCAAAACTCTCAAAATTTCCCCCTTCTAATCTCACGTAAAACTCACAAAGCTGCTACTGCTTGCCTCTTCTTCTTATTCACGATCAAACACACACACACACACACAAAAAGGCTGAACCGCCGCTACTGCCGAGCACCACCACCTGTCCACCTGCTGCCGCGCCATCGCAGCTCCACCCGCAGCACCCCACGACCACCAGTTTGCCCCCCTTCTCTCTCCTTTCTTTATTTCTCTTTTGTTTTGTTAAATTGATTCAAGTCTCAATCTTTATTAAGTTTTTGTTCTTAAATTGTTATTATTATGATTTGATTATGCTTATAAAGTGTAAAAGACTAAATTATGAATTATACTATGTTTAATTTATGGAATAAAATTCCAGATTTGGTTTAATTAAGAATTAAGAGTCGAAATCTTGATTTTTCATGGTTTTAGGGTTTAAAACGTGTTGATTAAGTTATCTAGTTATATTATGTCTAAATTATATTTAAGCATAATTATTTTGATTATATATAAAATTTCAGATTTATTAAAGTTTCAATTTTAAGTTTAAATTGTATTAATTTCATATTTTTATGTTCCTAATCTCATAAAACAATGATTGTGAGTATTTTATGATTATAAAGCCTTGAACTTTAAAGTCTAATCTCAAGAATTAATTTTCAGATTATTGATTCGTGTTTTTGAAGCCTCTAATTACATTTAATTGGTGTATTTTTGGGTTTAAAGCATACTAACCTTCTATATTATGTATGTGATAAAAATCTCTATAATTTCAAGATTTCAAGTGTAAAATAAATTTTCAGATTTTTATAAAGCTCTAATTTTCCTGTAATTTTATGAATAAGTATGTATTTTAAGGTTTTTACGTAGGAAACTTAAAGAACTATATATAAGCTTTTAATTTTAGTATAAGGGGAGGTTTTAAAGTGTTGTTTAATTGGATTTTGAAGGTTTTAAAGTAAGTTAGTATTGCTGTAAATTTAATTGCTTGGGTATTGATTGAATTGTTGTTGTTTGGTATAGGAGAGGACTTCGTAAAAGGCGATTTCTAGTTCCTAAAGCGGTCAACCAACTCGTTTACTCAAGGTACATACAAGGATACGAAATCCTTAGACTCTAGGAGCATGTTTAAGAACTTGGAAAATCTAGAATCATGTTAGGAAACTTGTGGATTGGTTGAAATTGTATGGTAGTAAGTTTGATTGGTGATTAATGTGATGATTGGTTTTGATTAATGTGTGAGAAACGTGTATTGATCTATCTTGTAAGTATTATTTATTCACTAACTTGCAAGATAAGCTTAGAGGCAAAGGTACATGAATATGTTGAGTGAATTATTTTATTACTCGTTCATTATTATTGAAATGGAATGAGTAAAGGAAGAATTGAAGTCTATAAGACGAGGTTGAGGATTTGAGGTGCCTTATGCACTTAAGGTGTTTATACACCGAGGTAGGTCAAAGGGTTCAACACTAAATGTTGTTTGTCACTAATAATTCAAGAATTTAATTGGAAATTTGAATTGCTTGAATGATTAATGTTTGATTGGTTGTATTGTTTTGCATTTGAGACATCACTAAGTTTAAACTTGTAAATCACGTAAAGTGCAAGATGAATAAGCAATAAAACTCTGAATTTGTGCACATCTAGAGTAATGACAAACAGGGGTTGGGGTACACGGGGTATTAACCGTGCACTTTTCTAGAGGTCGTCTAATCTACGAGTATCTTGTTTTCAAATACTTTTTACAGCTATAAGGAGTTAGATGAGATCCCATACTAGCTATGGCCACAGAGTCGCGCCCGTTTGCCATTGGATGTTTATTGATGTTTGCAAAAGGAGGCATGGGGTTTTTCTTTTATTGATGTTCCGAATTGGAGCATGGGGAGACAACCTTGTCTATTGCTTAATCCAATAAATAAAATGAAATGAAATAATCAGTATTAATTAGAGAAGTCTTAGTAATGTTAACAGTTGAGTTATGTATTTGAGTCAATAATTAAATTGTTGTGTGTTGATTGATAAATAGTAGCATGCTAGAAATTCTTTATTATATTCGTAGCTTGTATGTACTCAGCGTTGCGGATTGCGTAATTTTGTGCGCCTTTTTCTTGGTCATGGCCTTCGCCTTTCAATGACCCTGTAATGATCCAATCTTTACACTTGTAATATTGGGTAGCAGACTTATCACAGGTGTTTACATAGTTTGGACTTGCATCAAGGTTGTGGGAGTGGAGAGTTGGTTATCGTTCGCATTTTATTTCATTTCATAAGTTTGAATTTACATAAACTCTAGTTTCATTTATTTACTACTTTTGTTGGGTTTTGAATAAGGGCCTTAATGGTTCCAACTTGTAAGACTTAATTTGGTTTTGTGTGTTGATTTTGATACTTATTTATAACTGAGTTAGTTTTTCCGCTGCTAAATTCTGAATTAGCCTTAACGTTTGAACACGTGGCGGTAGCACGTCAATAATTCTCTTGCATTTTATTAAAGGTATTTACAGGTTTAAAGAGAGAATTATTGGGGTGTTACACCAGTAACCTGTTGAATAGGTAAATTTTTTCTTAAAAAGTTTTATGTACTCGTGTCATCACGTGATTGGTCAAAAATAAGTTTACTTTTAATTTTAATTTATATTACTGGTTTAATTATTTAATTAATTAACTTAAAAAATATTATTTAAAATAAAAACCATCAATCCAACCACCGCCGCCCTCAGCCCAACGTGACCCTAACCACCGATTGTCGGCACCTAGCTGGCCCATTCCCCCCATCCCGTCGGCGAAGCCCACCCCACCCCTCTCCCCAATCTGTTTGGTTTTTAGGTTGTTTTGGGTTTTCTAGGTTGTTTTGGGGTAGGGCTTATGGTTTTGGGGGACGACAAATAGGGGAGGGGGTCATTTCGTGGAGAGAGGGGCGTTTATGCGGTGGATTGGGGAAAGGGGAAGAGGGTGGCGCGTCGCGGTAAGGGAATTTGGGGAAGGAGAAGGAGCGGGCTTCTAAGGTTCTTCGTGGGAAGAGAAAAAGGGGTGAGGTGGGCTTCGCCAGCGAGGGAGGGAATGAGTCGGCGGAGGAGGGGGGAAATGCGCCTGCAGGATCCGCCAGCGGGGAAGGCCAGTTAGGCGTCGGCAGCTGAGGTAGGGGTCAGGCGCTGGGCGGTGGTGGCTGGCTGGTGGAAGTTTTTTTTTAAAAAAAGTTTTTTAATTTTTTTTTTACTTTTTAGTTTAATATTTAAATTTTTTATTTTTTTTTTTGACCAATCACGTCTTGACACGTGTAAGGTGACTTGTTATAACAAGTTTTATGACCGGTTGGGACCATTAGAAGCAAATTCATATTAAAGTTCGGATTATTAAAAAATATCGAAAGTTGGGATTATTTTGGCCGAATCGAACAAATTAAAGGGGATTATTCCTGTGAATTTTTCCTTAATTATATTATGTCATATATTAGAATATTATTGTCAGATATTAGATTATTATTGTCAGATATATTAGACTCACCGTGAGTCCGACTCACCTAATTTTTTTTTTCAAATTTCAATAGGTTTAAGTATGGCATTAAATGAACCCAAACCAAATTGATTGACTTTTATCATTCAAAAACAATTTAAATTGATTGATTAACAACCCAAATGATTTGATTTTCATTTCTACAAAACTCAAAATAGTTAACATAAAATTATGGTGCACTCGAATTTAAGAAAGATCATACTTCAACATAAACCAAATTTGACACTTATAATTACTCCTTTTTTTTTTTAGTCTTATTTGTTTTTTTTACATAGTTTTGCCAATGCAATAGTGTAACTGAGATATTTTAAGCTATTTATTAAAAAAAAATAACATACTGGAAAATTAAAATTGACGAATTTAGTAAAATCTTACATGATATAACTGGAATAATCCCAACTTTACTCGATTCGTCTAAATATTCCCAACTTTCGCATTATTAAAGTTCATATTAAAGTACGGATTATTAAAATCTTACATGATTATAACTGGAAGCAAATTCATATTAAAGTTCGGATTATTAAAAATAATCGAAAGTTGGGATTATTTTGGGCGAATCGAGCAAAGTTGGAATTATTCTAGTCAATTTTTCCTTATAAGTATATGAAAATCATTACATTTTTAAATTTCATTTGCCATGGATTCTCTCAAAATTTCAAATCTGCTTAAAGAAATAGAGAGTTCTATTTTTTAATTGGTAAGAAGAATGACCCTATTGGGACGGAACATCTCACAGATTCATCTAGCCAAGTAAGTGAGCTTAGATCATTTGAGATTCCTCCCCCTAAAAGTGCTTTTAGTGGACTTTGATTCCACGTGAGAGATGCAAACTTTTCCTCTAATAAGCCTTGTTTGGCGGAAAAAACGAGAAATTACTCCGGATTTATAATTGAAAATAAACCCAATATGAAATTGGTCTCAAACCAAAACAAATGACTCACGACTTAAATCATATCATAACAGAATCGACCTTATTAATCAAATCCCATCCATACACATAACAAAATCTCTTATTTGGACTACTATATCAATTGACAATACGTACGAAAAGATATTAGAAAGTACATAATTTGAACATCTAGAAATTCTCACTACAATTATCAAAGCAATTAGTCCAAGTCCGTCATCAATGAGCTCATGTTAATTAACAGCCAAATATTGTGGACCATATTGGCTCGTGTTCGTGGCTTTGTGTAGTTTCCAAAGTAGCTTACTCACTTCCTCTGTTTTTCTTCTATAATTAGCCCCTTGTTTTTAACTTCTCTCTTTAACATTCTCAATTTAGCTCCGGAAATCTTCACCATTTTATTATCGGGTATTTGGGTATGCTTCATGTTTATTCTAGTCTTTAATCTTTCACCCCTTTTCTTAGAATCTTATAAATGATTATATGCTTTCCTAATTATTGTCTTAAGTGTGTTATATGTTTGTTTATATGTTGTAAATTTAAATTCATATTATAATCTTGTGTGTACACCTTATGATCATATTTTCTTTATTATATACGATTTTGTTGTATGGAAATGCAAGAAAGGCGAATGGGTTCTAAGAATTTCATTGCTTGATATTCTTATGAAATGATTTGGTTTAGAGTTTGGATTTGATTTTGAGAGTATGCATGATTGATCGATTTAAATGGCATTTTTATGTGTGGCGATTTTGCTAGTTAGAGTAAGATTTGCCTAAGTCTTGATTGTTATCCTTAGAAATGAAACTAATTAGGGTGCAATTGTTGTTATTGTATAGTAAGGGGGTGTTTGGTTCGCAAACTGGTACGAGGTTGGAGTCAAGAATGAAACCATAGTAGTATTTGTTTGGAACTTGATTCTCAATACCATACGTTTGGTATGAGTATGGAATGAATTTTTTTTTTCTTTTATTTGATACCTAAAAGTATGGGAATGAGCCAAACTCCCCCCTTCCCTAGGTTTCTAAACCCCATACCTTAGGAGTTTGAGGTATGGGTTTGAAACTCTTGAAATCATAAAACAAATATAAGATATCTGTTTAAACCATTCTAAACTCATACCTTATGCCTAAATTTATGTGTACCAAACACCCCTACAATGTTACCTATAATTCGCTTATCCCCATGAACCAAAAAGGCAAAATATAGCATAAATTAGGTAGTGAATTGAAAACCTGTATCCTATCTCGGACTACTGAACTATGTAACTATGGTAGAAAGGAGGGCCTTTTAGGTATATTTAGAGGTGCAATTTGTGTTTACACCAATTATATTGGTTACGTAACTAATACTCCCTTCATTCCTTTTTGATTGTCACATACGAGTTTTATTACTTTTTTATTTTTGTTTGGATGAGGTTGATGACAGAAAATTGGTGGGACCACTTATAGCTAATGTGAGAGTAAGTTGGTAGTCCCTCATAGTCATTTATAATATGGGGCATGCTATGATGGACGTAGGAAAGAAGAGTAAGGTGGTAGTCCCTCATTTACTATGCATAACTACATCCACCAAACTTTTGCCACAACTTTATGTGGCACAAAACTCAAAGGAAGGTTATTGCCCACGAAAAAGATTACGTCCATGGCCTATAGTTCCATAAATTTGTGCATTGGATATGGTCATGAGTTGGAAAAAAGTATGCTATAAGTCCTCTTATTTCTAGTTCTATGTTTAATTAGAGACAAGTGTACTCGTGGCTAACTAACATTGATTTCCATCGATAAAGTTGTGGTTGATTAAAAACTATATGATATGTGAACGATTCTTCATTTATGACTAATTAGTTTGATTGCCGTTTTCTAATACCTTGTCAAAACTTTGGTCCCGTGGCTACCCTATTAGAAAATTTGCTAATTATGTTAAGGGCAGGAAGCCGGGAAGTAGCCTAATGGAGTTTCTACAAGAGTTTGCTCAATGACATAACTTTTGAGCATATCATATTGTCGACTTTGCAAGTAACTTTGGCTTTTAGATTGCAAGGAAATCTCCTGCTCTATATCTGGTTGGTCTTATAGTGAAGACTTAGCCATGATGTGGATAATTTTGGTTTGGGATAATAATCTGTGAAATGTAATTTTCATCTACCTCCAGAAGTTTTGTTGTGAGAAAAAGACACTTCTGTGCCACTAATTTTAATTTCTTGTGGCTTAATTTGTGGCATAATAGTGCTTTTGTTGCTGTGAAAATGTGGTTTAAAGTTTAAATTTTCATGTCTGTCTGTAACAAACACACAGCAGTGATAGCAACACACAATAACACATCGAAATGAAATGTATGATAACTCACCAGTGTTAACATTTCCTCTCCCAAATGCTGAGCTTAACACCCCATTTATGGGTTTAATGAACCTCCCAGACCTAAGAATAAGAAACTTTCACTAGTTAGAAAACTTTTAGGAGAATTCCGCTTATAAAACAGTATTTTCTTATTATAAACTTCCTAAATAAATACAAGTCATCCTTTGTAATTACGATCAGTAAATATTCATACAGGATACCTTTTAAAATAAAACTTTATATATTTGTTGGTCATTATATTGCCAATTTGGTATGCCCTATTGCCAAGATTGGCTGGACATGCTATGCTTGATAGCATGGTTGTCCTTGCTACCAAGTGTTTTGGCTTCTTCACTTTGTCTCTCGGTCTCATCTTTGGCTCAAACCTTTGGTGCCAAATTATTGAATCACGTTTAATGCTTGACTAAACAGTCATAAGTATTATGTGGGGAGCTTATGAGCATGTATAATTTATCCCTTTTTTTTTGCTCGTAGAAAAAGCAATATTATATGTAGCTTCTGAGGTCAAATTTGCCTAGAAACTGTATATTTTTTATATTGATACGTATTCTTTGTTAACTTCTTGAGCAGAACTGAGTGATCACTCTTGTCTGTCATAACTTCTTGAGCAGAACTGAGTGATCACTCTTGTCTGTCATAGCCGTATACATTCATATGCACTTTAGTTTGCCCCTTTTCCGGGTTAAATAGGATATGCAATAGGGACTATAAATTCTGTTTGTTTTGAATCCTGGCATGAAAGAAACACTGTGTTATAGATCCGAAGACATTCTGTATATAACAATTTTGGATACAAAGTTACCATTTGTTGTTCGTTAGAAGTATGTAACTTATTGTTGCAGATTATTTGACCCATTCAATTTGGCGAATGCAGTGAAGATGGTAAAGCCTTGGCAATCATGGCTCTACTGCTTAGCTTTATTTCTGGCTGTGTCGTGTGAAGTTATAACTGCTCTTGTACTAGATGAGAGCATGATGAAATCAGCTGATTATCTATCGCCTGAATTCGCCATGAAACCCGGGTCAGTAGTGAACAAATTCTATTATAACATCGACTTTCCCAAGGGCCACATTGGCATTAAGGATTTCAATGCTGAAGTAGTTGATGAGGATGGAGTTTCTGTCTCTCTTCAAGACACTTACCTCCACCACTGGGTGGTTTTGAGATACTATGTACGTAAAGGTTTGGAGGATAAAGGCCTAAGAAGCAAGCCAACGCTTCGTCAGGGGCCAGATTTTATGTTGGTCAGAAACACTGGAGTGTGTAAAAATCTTGGTCAGTATTTTGGATTAGGTTCTGAAACCCGAAAAACAGTCACACACGTGCCCGATCCTTATGCAATAGAGATTGGTAATCCAGATGAAGTACCAGAAGGGTTTGAGGAGAGGTGGCTGGTGAATGTTCACGCAATTGATACTCGAGATGTGGTGGATAGGTTGGGATGCACTGAATGCAGGTGCAGTCTTTACAATTCTACCATAGATGAATATGGTAGACCTATAAGCCCAGATTACGAAGGAGGATTGTATTGTTGCTATGATCAGACACAATGTAAGGTGAAGGAAGGTTTTGCAAATTCTTTGAGGAGGTTGTACCTGAAGTACACTGTCAAGTGGTTTGATTGGAATGAATCATTACTACCTGTTAAAATTTATATCTTTGATATTACTGATACTTGGATGGCATCCAATGAAAGGCATCCCTGCATGGTAACTTTTCTTTATCCCTTTCTTTTGTAACTTTTTGGTGCTACAAGCCCACAAGAGTATATTCTGGCCCTTCAACCAATTTGAGTCGAACATGATTTGGGGCTGTTTCGCATTTTCTTTTTCTTCGTTTCAATGTTCCTGCAGGTAGAGTATGAAGTCAGTCCTTGTGATTCATCTACTGTGTCTTCTAATGGTTGCATCGACAATAAGAAGATAAGCTTTAATATGCCAAGAGGAGGGTATTTGGTTTATGGTGTTGCCCATCAGCATGCAGGAGGAATTGGTTCAGCTCTTTATAGAAAGGTGGTTATGAATTTTTATTGTCCTTTATATAAACTATATTGTCTATGTGTGTCTTGAGTAACCTCTATGGATGGTCTTATATGCTAAAAGCTTGTTGATTTGGTGTACTAATAACTTTGTCTTTGAAATATTGTCCCAAGTTCGGATTTTAGGTCCATTAGGAGACTATAGGACTCTCTGATCTTCCGAAGATCTGTCTGTCAGCTCCTCTGAAGTCGAATTCTTTGCTTCAGAATTGTTCTGTCCCTCCAGATAAAGTAAAGAGATTTACTAATTAGGGAAGCGATTGAAGGAAAAACCTGTAACAATATAACTGTGTATATGACTTTTGGATAACCTACATGGCCACATGTTAATGAAAATAGGATCCAGGGTGTGTAATTATTTCATTTTTTGTCATCACTTAGAGCTAGTGCATATAAAATTTCTGATTTATTTGTATATTTGATTTCAGGATGGGCGTGCTATCTGTTCCTCGATTCCAACCTACGGACAGGGAAATGAAGTAGGAAATGAGTCTGGATATATTGTTGGAATGTCCACCTGTTACCCCGACCCTGGCTCAATCAAGATTAATGATGGAGAGACTTTGGTTCTGGAGTCTAATTACAGCAGTTCTCAGAAACACACTGGAGTTATGGGCCTTTTCTACATTTTGGTTTCCGAACAATTACCAAGGCAGAAGGAAATTTCAACCTCTTAATCTCTGTAAGATTTCTCTGCTCCTCAATTCACTGTCTGTGTATGAACATTAAACTAGCATAAGCGCTAGAGGGATAAGAAATGAACTGTACTCAGGCATCATGCCATTGCTTGATGCCTATCCCCAAGTCCTGAATTTATTGCAGGACGTAAACTGATGAATGCTATTTGACAGAGAAACATCCTGAGTCTTATTATAATATTGAATCTGTATGGCACAAGTTCAGCTGATGTTAAATGGAAGGCTGATTATTGTCAAGCTAGCATATTGTGTTTAAAAGTGTTTGACGCCACATCTTGAAGTAATACCTCCACGAGTTGAACTATATAGCAAATTGAAATCATGAACTAGAATATAAAAGCTTGCCCCAACCCATGAGAAATTTTTTTGGAAGCTTGATTAAACCATACTCTTTTTGTAGGACAGGAAAAGTGTTAGGATTATATTATGAGTCATTGTGGATTTAAAAGCAGAGCTACTGAGCTTAAAGCGTATGCACCATATGATAGTAGTGTCAGTATTGATGTCAAATTAGACTAGCTTTTGTGATAATGTTGAAGACTTGTCTTAACACATATAGCACAAAGTTTTTAGGCTGGAAAATTAAGCGGTCCCTCCTTCCTAGTCCTTAAGTAGTAAGATTATGATTTAACCACTTCTCACTGTTAAACTGAGTTTGTACATTGTTGACAACTTATACAAGTTCTTTCATCTGATTGTTGCTTCTTGTGTGTTTTTCTGATACAGTCAATTGAGCGCATATAAGGCCTTAATTTTCTTCAACAGTTTCTATGTGACTTTCGGTGAAGGTGAGCTACTGCCTAGATTCAATTTTAACTCATGTTTAGAACTCTATGCATGATATATATTCAATATATGTAACTGATGATGAAGTCTGGCTACTTTTGTTCTGCCTTTTCATCTATATTACTAGTAGTAATGAAACCAAAGTGAAAAATCATTTTGCAATCTGTAAACGTTTCGCTACATCCTAAAGTTTTTGGTCTGCCCTCCCTACAATAAGGCATTGATATTAAACATAGACCAGATAGTTATCAATTACAATGATATCGAATAAGAATTGCAATTTTTACACAGAGAAGAAACTTGCTATATTTGCATACAATATTACTAAAGAAGGAACTAAGGAAGAACACAACTTTTAAATCACTTACATATCCGAAGAAGATGAGGAAGAGAATCATACAGCATACAGATAAATAGGGAGCTACAGAATCATACAGCATGCAGATAAATAGGGAGCAAGCTCCAAATACAAAGAAGTGAAAACAGAAACAGTGAGAAAAAAAACTGGAAGAAAGGCATTGCCTTCCCTTTGCCTAGTTGACTTGCCTTATAACCTTGACGGTTTTGGTCAAGTTTACATTAACTTGTTTGTATCAATCCCATCATCAAAATCATGATCTTTTTCCGTCTTCTTCGTCTTCCCCTCCTTCCGTCGACATGATCAAGTAATCCAAACTCCGATGGACCTAAATGGCGAAAATCATGGACATTGTGGAGAGATCAAAACTAGTATTTTTCTTCATTACTTAAGGTGATACTAAATATTTATAGAACTAGTTTTACCGCTAATGGAAGCTAAGAGGTATAAGGGAATGGAAAAATGGTCCCTAGTTGGACTTTATTTCACTAATTTTCTCATAATAAAATTTTTGTTGGATTTAATTTAGTTAAAAAATCATGCTAATTCATCCCACTAAAATTGATTAATATTAACTTAATTAGCTTACAAGAATAGCATGTGGGATCCAACTTAGCACAATTAAAAAAAGGTCAAACCCAAAGTGTTAAAGAGAATTAGCTACTGGATCCACGTGTTAAGGCAACAAATCATCTAAATTGGGAGGAGTATAATTGTGAATTAAATAGACATTTTATGCCATTATTTTGCCTTTTTATTTAATTATTTCTATACTAAATATTTCAATGGTTTTGGACCGTCCAACACATCTCCTTGCTTCCCGCTAAAGTTGGGGAGAATCCATGCTTTAAGTGATTCATCTTTGTTAGTGCAGAATAATGAGGAAATTAGATGTGGAAAGATGGATCATTAAGCTCCTCATCACCAATGCTTGTAGTATATGAAAGGCAAATTATTATATGCATGCTTGTATGCATGCATGAACTCCAATGGTAATAATTGAGAGCTTGAGGATTGCCTTAGACCTATTAAATTCGATCTAATCAGAATCATATCCGATGATTGATTTGAATAATCTAGCTGGATTAAAACAATACTCGAAAGTATATGACTTAATTGATATGAATTGACAAATACATGACTAAAGACTACCAACTCAGAAATTAATTTTGATTGATTTATCTTATCTATCAAACCAATGGGTAATGAGCTCCAATATCAATTAGTTCCACCCAATACTAAAATGATTGAACTATTATATATTAACTCAATCGATTTGTTCCACCCAAAACCAAATTATCGAATTGAATCAATTAACATCTTATTTGAACAATTTGTTTGCTTAGGAGTGTGAAATCTGAAAAGTACTAAAGTTTTTATTTTCAAGTACTATGACTAGTTTATAATAATACAATATTAGAATTATATGGTAATCAATATCTTTGCAATGGCTATTAATAGATTTAATTTGCTTTTTACACATCGTTTGATTATCTTATATAGGGTGTTTGGTTCACAAAGTAATTTGAGTGAAAAATCAAGAGTGAAATAACGATAGCGTGGAATTGAATTTTGACAATTTTTCTTAATAATCTCAAATGCTCAACTTCTCCTTAATCACCAAACTCAATATATATCGTACACTATTAGTTTACTTAAACCTAATGTTGAATTGACTACCTTAATATTTTGATGATTGACTTACGTAAAACAAACTCTGACTAATGATGTTTATGAGTCTTGGTTGAACAGAAATATTCAGGTACACAAATACATGTTTCGGAGTAGGAACAACAGAGTTTGGAAGACTTGATGATGAATGCAAGCTTTCAAGATGTCCTCACAACTCTATATACTTAGTTACTCAGTGTACGAGCTTAAGAAACAAAAGTGTTGGAAGGAATGGAAGGAATTAAGAAGAAACTCGAAGTTCCTGAAGGAACCTGAAGTTCCCGAAGGAACTTGACGATTGACTCAGAAAGTTTTAAAACAGTTTTCATATCCCTTAATTTAAGGAAGTGATAAAAATCAGTTTTGAAAAAGATTTAAAAAGATTTTATAAATAAATAAATAATTCATTAATTTAAAAAGATAAGTTTTAAATTAATTAATTATTTATCTTTTAATTAATAAATAAATAATTATCTTTTTTATTAAATAATTATCTTTTTGAATAACTTAATTTTTTTGACTTGGTAAATACTGGCTCCTAGTATTAAGGAGAACGTTGAACTTGGGAGTCAAGCTAAGGAAATCATGTTCCTAAATTTCCTCTGCCTACATCCCAACTTCTCAGCCAAAGAGAACGTGGGATTAAGGGGGAAGTGGGAATTTGATGGAAGCTTGAATATTCTCTTTATAAAAATAGATCAACGTGGCTTTTTGAAAGTGTGGAAAAACAATCTTAAGTATTCTGAGCATAGAGTTTCAAAGTGTTTAAAAGAGAAATTCCTTCCATCCTTAGTCTCTTAAGTTCTTTAGGAAATACTTGTAATCATTGTGTAATTAGGTTTGGGTTGTGAGAGTTGTAAAGTGTGAGACTTGAGAGAGTTGTTTACACTGTACAAGTGATTCGGAGTAGAATCACAAAGTGTGAGAAACTGTGATTGAGGGATCACAGTTGGGTAACTTGAGTTCCTCACGGAACTTGAGTCTAGGCAACGTATTAGTGATTGTAAATCATTTTTACATAGTGAATTTATTCATTACCTATCTCAGTGTCTTTTCTCTTAGTAGTAGATTTAATTCCGCAAAATTTACCATAGTCTACATACACTACAATTCACCCCCCCCTCTTGTAGTATACATTGTTCTATCACTAACCTACACTAAAACCATGAAACTTAACATATATCTTCTAATTATACAATAAGATTGAATATTAAGAATATATCAACAATGCTTCTAATTCAATCTTTTAAAAATTCAAATTATGTCTTTTCTAGGGCCTTTGTGAATAAATTTACTAAATATACCTTTGTAAATACATATGATGGACAAAAATCACCCTTTTTAATTGTGTCACGAATGAAATGAAAATTTGCTTCAATGTGTTTTAATTTGTCCTCCATGAAACACATGATTATTTATCTGCAATATATAGTGTCGATTGACTATTAAAAAGCATTCACATTCCCTTCTTATGTTCCACTTCCAAATCACGCAATAGTTGTTTCAACTTCTTCAACTCACATGTCAAAGTTGCCATTGACTGAGACTCTGCTTTTGTCGAAGAGAGAGACATTGTGTGTTGCCTTTTTGTTCTTCCAAGACATAGGTGAGAGATCAAGCAACACAAACCAATCAAAGAGGGATAGTCAATAAACAATTACCCCAATCTGAGTCACACCATCCTTCTAGCTAGTTTCAAAGCAATATCTGAATGTAGATGAATACCTTGACTCAAACACATTTTTCAAATATCGAACCACTCTTAACATTGCTTACCAATGCTCCTCTTTTGGTTCTTGCACAAATTGTGAAAAAATGTGCAGCGAATATGCCAAACCTGGCCGAGTAACTGCCAAATAAATCAAACTTCTAATCAAGCATCTATATCTCTCTCCATAGGGAAAATCCTTTCCCCTGCCAAGGCCAGTTTGTGATTCTGCTTTATTGGAAAGTCTGGTCGGTTAAACCATGTCTTAGAAATAATATCCAAGGCATATTTTTGTTGACATACATATAGGGCATATTTCCGCAGACATACGTATATAAACCATGCTTACTACGAGCCACCTCTAACCCCAAAAAAGTATTACAGACAATTCAGAGCACCTAAGTCTTTCATCTTAAAGCAATTAAATCACTCAAATATGCTTCGAAACTCTCCAAAGCAAACTTACTATTCCCTACTTTAATCATATCATCCGCATAAGCACACTCAAATGCAATATAATCCACCCTTAGAAAGAGTAAATAAAGAATAATCATAATATGATTGTTTAAAGCCATATTTCTTCAACAATCTCTCAAATCTACATCCGGGTGCTTGTTTCAAGCCATACAAATCTAAAGTTTTTAGAGAAAAAAAAGAAAAGAAAAAAATTGAATAAATTTGTTGTAAAAAGTGTTAATTAAATGTGCATTGGAGATCATAAAATTCAAATCTCATAATATAAAAAAAGAACAAAGGTATTATTAGTAAAAGATTATGATATGTTGAAAATATACACTAAAAGTCTAAAATGAACTAAAAGTATCTAATACACCTTATACACATAATAAATTAATATTAATACTCCTATTTATTATCTACATAAGTTAAAACTTACGGTCAAAGTTAATTAAACATATTAACACTGTCAAAATCAAAGATTCAACTTTTTTTTTTTTTTTTGAAACAGAGTTTATATTTTTCTTCTCGTTTAAAAAAGTTTTATAATAAATTGAATACTCAGTCACGAAGCACCACTTCAACTCGAAAAAGCCCCTAGTTTTATCACCTTAATATGCAAATTCATCAAGTAGTAAAATGGTAAATAAATTAACAAAAAAAAAAAAAAAAAACAATCATCATTTTTGCAATTACATCAACAATTGTAGAACCCTTTTTTTTTACAAAAAGTTTTTAGTTTATTTATGTTTTTACCACATGATAAACACATTTTGTTTATCCAGGTGATAAACTTGTATTTATTTTCTCCTTCTAGTCTCGATAAAGTGAATTATTTTTAATTAGGTTAAAATCCCGTACAATACACGGTTGTTAAATATTCTTGACAATAATATTACAAAATATAAAGTATATAAAAGATCTTTAGAAATATTTTATTTGAGTATATATATATAATTGTCAAACTGAAAAGAA